AATATTGATTAAGGGTTTTTATGGTGCCCAAATTWATGCACCTGTCTAATTTAGTTTAACCWATTATTGCACACTTTCTGTAAATCATATAAACTTTATTTCACTTCTCAAATATMACTGTGTTTGTCCTCTATATGATATGTTTAACTGATGTTTTAATCCAAACAATCAATGATTTATAAAGGTAAATCAGGAAAATGAACAAGGCTGCCCAAACTTTCACTCCCCACTGTATCTGACTGGTTAGTCTTAGACAATGAGTCAGGGTTGGCTATATATCTGAGTGGTTAGTAATAACAGAATTAAAATAGTTCAATTTGAATTGTCCTGTTTATGTTTACGTTAAGCTATTTCCATAGTTATGTAGTTGGTGATGCACACTTCCAAATTTGGAGGTTTATTTGGATTATTTTAAGGTTGTTTTCTGGTGGTCTAGTTTGTTTGTGTGGTTAGTTCAGGAGCAGCAGGACTGCCTCAGGATGAATTCGTATCAAATGTTAGAGAGAATTTCAGGACTTAATCATCAGTGGTGTCCACTGGGTCAACAAGCMTTTTGGCCATTTATCAGCAGACACACTCACCAGTGGGACCCCCGGGGTGAYCACTTCCCAAGGTCAAATCCTGTGTCCAACTGGGAGGTGATTTGGTGATGTTTAGATTTATTACAAAAACTGTGGAGTAGAGCTGTCAATTTGATTGCAGAGTCAGTCAATTTGGAGGGTAAACCATTACTTCTAATGATTTATAGGAATTAGGTTTGGTTCTGAGTTAAATTAGTGTTGATTTTATTTAGGTTTTGAGGAGAAAGCTGCAGTTTGTTTGGCTAAAGTGGAGGGGGGGGTGTTCTGTGGAGCTTAAGGCTGGTTAGCTGTCCTTTAAGTTGGGGTAAAGTATTAAATTAATATGTATCAGTGTTAATCTTTAAGGATTTAAATTAAAAAGGAAAAGTTGCACAGGTTTAGGATCAGGTGTGTACCTGTCAGGTTAGAGATTAATGGAGGTCAGTGGAATGTCCCCACATGTATAGATATGTGGATTCAGCTGTGTGTGTGTGTCAGAGAATCTTACTAACTAAACTTTAAATGTTCCTGACAGATAGAAACATCTATAAATGTATATATTTACGTGTGTATCAGGTTATTTGTGAAGCCAGTCGTTCATCACAAACCGTTTGTTTCTGACATGTTCTGTTTCAGAGGGGTTCTCCTGGGTCCAGGTCTACCACATGTTCCAGGGTCCAGGTCTACC